TTTTCCCTTATCATTGGAGATTTATTGAATATTTTGCTGCACATTTCTGTAGAATTACTAAACAACATCTAACGGTACCTTATTTGCTGCTGCTGCTGCTGTTGCTGCTGTTGCTGCTGCTGCTGCTGCTGCTGTTTTTTTTTTTTTTTGCTTTTTTTTTTTGCTTTTTTTTGGTGTCTTTTGTTGGATATTTATTAAATTCCTTGGAGAATAACACAACATTGTCTTGCTGCTGCTGCTGCTGCTGCTTCTGCTGCTGTTGCTGTTACTGTTGCTGCTGCTGCTGTTGCTGTTATTGTTGCTGCTGCTTGTTCCTTGTTGTTGTTGATGGTGTTATGCTGGTTATGGTGATTATAATGGTTGTGCTGCTGTTGCTGCTGTTATTTTTTTCTGCTGCTGTTGCTGCTGTTGACATTAATCCTCCCGTTGCTGCTGTTGCTGCTGCTGCTGCTGCTGCTGCTGCTGCTGCAGGATTATTTAGATAGGACGAATCTATCTGCTGCTGAGTTGCTGTCTCTTGTTAAGGAGTGTCGTGCCTTTGAGGAAAGATTAAACACAAGATTTGCTGCTGAGAGGAGAGAGTTGCTGCTGCTGCTGCCACCAGAGCAGCAACTGCAGCAGCAGCAGCAGCAGCAGCAGCAACAGCAGCAGCAACAGCAGCAGGAACAACAGATACCGCAACAATTTGAGCCTACAAGACAGCAAAAAGAACTCCTACGTGAAGCAGCAATGCAAACAGCAGCAGCAATAGATCAGCAGCAGCAGCAAGAGGAACAACAGCAACAGCAACAGCAGCAACAGCAGCAACAGCAACAGGATCCACAACAACAACAACAACAGCAGCAGCAGCAGCAGCAGCAGCAGCAGCAGTCTCCTCCATCCTTTGCATCTCGTGTATCTGCAGTATTACAAGAAGACAGCACAAATGATAGCTCATCCTCTTCTTCTTCTTCTTCCTCTGCTGCTGCTGCAGCAGCAGCAGCAGCAGCAGCAGCAGCAGCAGCAGAGGAAGAAGAATTGCTGCAGCTTCCTGCTGCTGTCTCCTTTACAGGTGCTATATCTACAGGATTTGAAGGATTTATGGGTAATTGGCTGCAGCACGAGGAAGAAAAAATAAATAATAAATTGTCTCTTGTGCTGCAGCAAGATAATATTTATATTAATTATTCTTTATCTGCTCTTGCATGCAGCAGCAGCAGCAGCAGCAACAGCAACAGCAACAGCAGCAGTGGTAGTAGTAGTAGTAGTAGCAGCAGCAGCAGCAGCAAGAACCCATTTGATCCCGGTTTGCAGCAGCAAGAGGATAGTTTTACAGCAGCAGCAGCAGCAGCAGCAGCAGCAGGAGCAGCAGCAGGAGCAGCAGCAACAACAACAACAGGAGGAGGAGGAGAAGAAGGAGAAGTGTGCCTATACACCTCAGCTAGTCAATTATTTAGTGCATGCAAGACATGCATGGATATAACTGTCTCCTTTTCTTGGGGGGAGACACTTCTTATTATTACTCGTGTCTTTGCTAAGACATTCAATAAATATTTACACGCTATTAATAACAGGTATTTATTTATTTATTTATTTATTTATTTATATTTATTTATTTATTTATTTATTTATTTATTTATCTTATTTATTTATTTATTTATTTATCTTATTATTATTACTCGTGTCTTTGCTAAGACATTCAATAAATATTTACAGGTGTCTCCTTTTTTTATTTAATTAATTAATTAATTAATTAATTAATTAATTAATTAATTAATTATATTTAATTAATTAATTAGTTAATTGTATTTATTTATTTATTTATTTATTTATTTATTTATTTATTTATATTTATTTGTGTTTTCTTTTTTATTTTATTTTATATATAAATATATATTATTATAAATAAATAAATAAATAAATAAATAAAATAAATAAATAAATAAATAAATAAATAAATAAATAAATAAATAAATAGTGTCTCCTTATGTGTCTCCTTATTAGGTTACCAGCAGCAAAGACATTCTTGAAGGATTTATTGTCTCCTTCGTCAGCAGCAGCAGCGCAGCAGCTGCTGCAGTATGTGCAGCAGCAGGTGCAGCAGCAGCAGCAGCAGCAAGTACCATTATTACAACCAGTACAGCATCAGCAGCAGCAGCAGCAGCAGCAGCAGTATCACCATCAGCAGCAGCAGCAGCAACAACAACAATCTATAGATAAAGAAGATATACTACAGCAGCAGCAACTGCAGCAGCAGCAGCAGCAGCTAACTGCTGCTGCTGCTGTCCTTGGCTGCTGCTGCTACTTCCATACAAATGTTAATAAGATAGAAGTTATGCTGCAGCAGCAACTGCAGCAGCAGCACCGCAGCAAAGTCTCCTTTGAGCAGCAAACAGGTAGTTTATTTATTTATTTATTTATTTATTTATTTATTTATTTATTTATTTATTTATTTATTTATTTATTTATTTGTCTCCTTTTAGGTGTCTCCTTTCTTATATATATAAAGTGTCTCCTTAAT